CATGGGTCTAGACTTAATGAGGGTACTGAGGGAGTTGGCAAATGTCATTTGCCTTTGGCCATTATCTTTGAAAAGTCGTGGAGATCAGGAGTGATCCCAGATGATTGGAAAAAGGCAAATGTAGTGCCCATCTTCAAAAAAGGGAAGAAGGATGATCCAGGGAACTATAGGCCGATCAATCTTACCTCGGTTCCTGGAAAAATCATGGAAGGGATCCTTAAGGAATCCATTTTGAGGCACTTGGAAGAGAGGAAAGTGATCAGGAATAGTCAGCATGGATTCACAAAGGGCAAGTCATGCCTGACCAATCTGATTAGCTTCTATGATGAGGTAACTGGCTCTGTCAGGGATAAGTCAGTTGATAGGATATACCTTGACTTTAGCAAGGCTTTTGATATGGTCTCCCACAATATTCTTGCCAGAAAGTTAAGGGAATGTGCATTGGATAGATAGATGGTAAGATGGATAGAAGGCCGGGCCCAGTGGGTAGTGATCAATGGCTTGATGTCAGGATGGCGGTCAGTTTCTAGTGTAGTACCCAAGGTTCAGTTCTAGGACCGTTTTTGTTCAATATCTTTATTAATGACCTGGACGAGGGGATGGATTGCACCCTCAGCAAGTTTGCAGATGACACTAAGCTAGGGGGAAGAGGTAGATACGCTTGAGGGCAGAGACAGGGTCCAGAGTGACAAACAAACTGGAGGATTGGGCCACAAGAAATCTGATGAGGTTCAACCAGGACAAGTGCAGAGTCCTGCGCTTGGGACGGAAGAATCCCAAGCATTGTTCAGGCTGGAGACCAACCAGCTAAGTAGTAGTTCTGCAGAAAAGGACCTGGGGGTTACAGTGGATGGGAAGCTGGATATGAGTCAACAGTGTGCCCTTGTAGCAAGGCTAATGGCATATTAGGTTGCATTAAGAGGAGCATTGCCAGCAGATCCAGAGATGTGATTATTCCCCTTTATTCAGCTCTTGCGAGGCTACATCTGGAGTAGTGTGTCCAGTTCTGGGCCCCCCACTACAAAAAGGAGAAGGTCCTGTGGAGGGCAACCAAAATGATTAGAGGGCTGGAACATATGACCTACGAGGAGAGGCTGAGGGAGTTGGGTCTGTTTAGTCTGCAGAAGTAAAGAGCGAGGGGGGATTTGACAGTCTTCAACTTCCTGAAGGGAGGTTCCAAAGAGGCTGGAGAAAGGCTGTTCTCAGTAGTGACAGATGGCAGAACAAGGAGCAATGGTCTCAAGTTGTGTTGGGAGAGGTCCAGGTTGGATATTAGGAAAAACTATTTCACTAGGAGAGTGGTGAAGCACTGGAATGGGTTACCTAGGGATGTAGTGGAGTCTCCATCCCTAGAGGTGTTTAAGTCTCGGCTTGACAAAGCCCTGCCTGGGTTGATTTAATTGGGATTGGTCCTGCTTACAGCAGGGGGCTGGACTTGATGACCTTCTGAGGTCTCTTCCAGCTCTATGGTTCTATGATAGGAGCTGAGCTGCCCCAGGAAAACAGGTGCTGGTACGTGCAGGGAAAATCCCATGCCTTTTCTATGGGCTAGAAAAACAGGTGACAGTACACTGTTCCGGGCAGTACCGTCACAAAAAACCTGGCTCTGGGTGCTGTTTCCACCTGGCAGAAAAGTTACATATATAATCTGGTATGCATACATTTTGAAGTGGAAGGTAACCACTCCCGGGATAAAAACTGACCATTATTCAAATAAACTCATTATTATAGGACTATGGACTGACTTCTGGGCAAAATATTGACTTTTATGGCTTTTTCCAAACATGCTCAGGCTTCAGCAATGTGTGCAAGTTGAATCTACCATTATGTAACCAACCTATCAAATTTATCATGGAACAATGCTTTTGATAATTAAAAAAAACCCTAATTCATACAATTCCATGGCAGGGATATACATTCCCTAGTTGATTATATCGTACAAATTACAAGTGAATAACCCATCATAATATTTGCTATTAACTCCATGGTTTTATACAGTAACTTCAGTAGACCTCTGTTAATTTCTACATAATTCTATAGCCTTTCTACGTAACTCTATAGAGTTCTTCATCTCTATATTCTAAAGTGTCTGTAAGTATTAAATTGGCCTTGTTTGATTAATTTCTCTAACACTTAAATTTTGACATATAATATATTTTTAAAGGATTCTGGTATTAGTCTTAAGGTGTAATTAAAAAACCTGAAAATAAACACAAGGCTAATTGTAGTATTTAGGAACACAGTCTAAGTAAGTAACAGAAAAAATGAAAAAAATTGTTTAATTTATTTTACATTTATACAAATAATAAAACAGTAATACCCAAATGCTGTACACAAAATAATATTAAATAGGACAAGGCTGACAGAATACATCTTAATACTTTAAACTACACAAATGCTATTGTGAATGCTCAGTAGCAATAGTACTGTGCAGAAATGCTGTACTCTATAAACTCTTCCTTTATTATATACATTTAGAACAATTGTGCTTTTTGATACACAAAGTAACATCTTAAAAAACAATAAAAATTAATGTGCAATTTAAAGCTTCGATCCAGCAAGAGGCTAGGGGCCTGTTTGTTCTGAGCACTTGCAATGCCCAGTGTACTCAATAAGAATAAGGAGTACTCAGCACTTCACAGGATCAGACTCAAAGAAAAAAAAAGTTTTGAAGAGATAGGTATTTATCTGCAAATTGTAGTCAATTCAAACAAGTCATTATCCTCAAGAGAGTGCTGATTTTTAAGAAGTTTATTTCAGGGTGTGATGTATTAATTGCGGTTCAATTTGTAAAACAGATCAAATTGCACAAACCAATTCAAGTTTTGAAACATTCAGTCAATAGTTGTTAATTTTGGGGCTGGGAGAGGGAGAACTGGTCCAAAGCTGCAAACATAACAAGCAAATATATTAGGTATTATTCTCCATTAAACCAAAGGAGAGAGGGTCCCTGACAAAGAAAATGTGAAAATGCTAGTTTATACATAATTTACAACAAATATGTCTGAATGAAAACAAATTCCTCTTACTTTGCCTTACTGTATCCTCAAGTGTCTGGCAATATAACAGACTGTTTCTAGAATTTTCTTTCAATTCTGATTCCTTTAAAAACATATTTGCAACAATTATTACTGGTGATTGCTAAATCTTGTGTAGGAAGAAATCAGTCATTTGAGACCATTCCTCATTCATAATCAGCTTAATCTGATGCTTAGTTTCATAGCCTCACCAAATCAGGTATCATTGTTGCAGGTGGACTACTTGTCCATTTTATTTTATCTAGTTAACAAAAGCCAGTGACAAGCATTGGGCAAAACAAAGGAACTAATCCAAAGATTCTTCACAGATTTGAGATGCATATTAAAGTTGAAGAACCTCATAGTGAAATCCACTCTGCTACATAGTCCCTATGCCCTATTTAAATCTCCACATATGTTCTACAAGGCCAATCCTTCATGGACCTGGACAGGAAAGAGGGTCACATAGTGGAAACAGTATGATTTCACAACTAAAGGAGGGAAGATTTGGGGAGCTTGAATGGAAGGCCTCTCTACATTTTGGAGACCAGCTCTGTAACCGTTTGAAGAAGTGTTTAGAAGCAGGGCATGGCAAAACGGGGATGGGCTGGCATCAGTGGATCTACTGATATGGAGAATATTAACAGATACTGACCTTCTTAAAAAAGGAGATATGGGTCCATGGGGAAGGTGGTTGGTAATCTCCCTCCATACACTGAGCTACAGGGTTTGTTTTGTGATTTTTGCACTGGTGTCAATTTCATCAACAGAATTAGATGTGAACACTATGGGCAAAATAGGCCCATATATATCTTTAAATATGCATTCCTATTTCAGTGTTCTTGCCCCAACCTTCATCTGATGAATTTTAAATCTCAACTCCCTCATTGATCATTCTGTTTCTCAGTCTCATTGTTTCTCTGAAGTCTACTTGAATAAGAAATTGCCTTTTTTTTTGGTACAATGGAAGTTAAGCGTTTCCATCTATGCTGAGCTTTCCTGATCTTGACTGAACTCATATTAGGAGTATTAAAAAGTTCCCTGAGAGGCAGGTGGGGTGGGGTGGGAGGAAGTAGTTTGGGTCCATCCTGAAACCCTTTTTTGACTGCCATCTCAACTGACACACCAAATTCATAGACCACGAAGTGTGTAGTAACAAAGATGTGTGAATAGACTAAAAAGGCACTACTCTGAGCTTCTATGAAATGAATATCATTGAATCTCTCAATTTACAGTCAATCATTCTATAAAAAACAATGGGTGAAACAAGATGGCCACCATGTGTATTTACAATTAAAAGGATATAAGCCATATTTGTTTTACAGTGCAAACCTTTAATGTTTACTTTACACAATTTGCAGTTTTTCAAACCCAATTTAAATAGCTCTAAGTGGAATAAAAAAAAATTATTAATCCATGATCACGTAAGGCCAAATCTTGGATCCCAGCACAAAGCAAACAAGTGTTGCGCTGGACAGCTTGGTGGAGGGGGGGGGGAGGGAAGAAGACATGCTGACTGTGTCTATGAGATGTCCAACTATGTTTCAAACCTCAGTCTGTTGATCAGAGTAGGTCACAGCACTTATTACTATGAAGGGAATCTAGCTATTGGATCAGCATGATCATGGACTTTCCCCAATGAGTCTTGGGCCCACAAAATTAGGAAAAAGATGCAGGGAGGGAGGGAGAAAGTGGACTTGGCCAATAGGGCAAAGATTCACTCCTAGAATTTTAAGCCCTGGTTCTAGAACTAGACACCTGAGTGGAGACATAATCCGGCGTCAGACCTTCCTCCCCCTTTGAATAAGAGGAAATTAAAGTGAAATTATGATACAGAGCTCTTTCCACTAGAACTGGCACGTCCAAGACAGCAGTGGGAATTGGGGCAACTTCACTTGGCCAGTCATTCTTCTGCCCATAGATGAG